TATTCTGATGTAGGCTCATTGAGGTATTTGTCTGATGTGCTATCACCTGTTACTGTTGGATTAATAAATCACCAGGGTTTTCCATAACTTAACTCTACAGAATGGTCACCAGTACTTCGCTACAGTCACAGGTATGAATCGATGTACTCATAGTACCGCAAAAGATGTCAAAGGTGATATTGATATATTAGAACAAGAAAGTGTTGTGAAATCTTTTTTGAATTGTTGCATTATAACATTTATCGTTAGTTTATTATCTCACATTTGATCCAAACACTGCTATGAGGTGTCACAATTCATCAAAATTTTTTGTTAATGTATTGTAGCTGTTGATTTTGTAAATAGAAGTAAAACAGTAGTCAGTGATGGAATAATTATTGATCATACAGCTCCAGAAATAGTTCTTAACAGAATACAGACACCTTCACCATATCTCACATCTTTAGATTCAATATCAGCTTGGTAAATATTACAATTAATGTAAAATTATTGTATGAAAGAGTAAGTATGCGCTAGCAACTGCTAATATTTTCCAATCACACTTGGCTAAAGGTCGTCACACAACCACAGATAGAGAAAGTAAATTGGTACAACGTGTGTATAAAACTATATTTAATTCATTCATAGTTGGAAGGAAAGTTTTAAAGACAGTGAAAGTGGTATTAAATTCTATAAATGGTCAGTAGGTAGTAGAGAAGGTCAAACAGACATATTAAAAACCAGAGAAACAGTTGAAAATTGTGATGTAGCTACACTGAATGTTAACTTACAGGATGGTTTTACTTATTATATTAAAGTCCAGGTAAAATCTCTTCCTCACTCTTTCTAGATAAGGCGAAATCTATCTGGTAAAAAATCAAATCAAACTTAAGTCTCTATTTACCAAATACTACGTTCATTTCATTTCTTCTGATTGTAAAAAAAACATGTAACTAATAAGAAACTCGGAATTATTTTCAGGCCATGAATGGAGTTGGGATGTCGAACATGTTAATATCACGACCACTAACAG